AAACTAATTGCCAGGATGCCCAGAATATGTCAGGCTGTCATTAGAAGTAAGGGTGGTTTTTTTGATGTAAAGGCAATTTAAAGAAAAGCAATTATTTCTTCGTACAAAAAATAATATAAAATGTAAAATATTATTTTGACAAATAAAACTTCCTCAATTACTTTGTAGGCGTTCAGTTTTTCTTAGAAATATCCTGTTTCTCTTAATTTACGTAGTGATTCCAAACTTTTGGCCGGTAGTGTACATACGGAAAATACGACCGTTAAGAAGCGACATTAGAAACATTTTTTCAATGTTTCCACTCACTCCTTCGTAACACATGTATTGACAGAGTCTTGTAAGTTTTTCATTTTGAATTTGCGTCCGTTAATATTTCTTGTATTACCTGCAATGTTTTAACTATTTGTGTGTAATCTAATGAGAAATTTTCCCGTATAAATAAATGAATAAATAAACTACTATTTACCATTTGATAAATAATGAACGGAGACACCCATAAAACTGATACTTTCCAGGACAGCAAATCTATGGACCTTTATAAATTGTTCACAATATGTTAGAGTTCTCAGCAGTAAAACTTGTAATGAAGTATTACAAGGTCTTGTATAACATCACAATATGTATAGTTTATTTCTATGTTAGTTTTACAAAATTTCATTAAGTTTATTTAGCAAACAAGTTCCGGTTTGCTAATTGCTTATGGAAAAATACTTCATTTTTCAGTATGTAATCTAAAAATATGGTAATACAATCTACTCGACCTTTTTTGCCATCATTTTGAATGACCCATCGTGTCAGCGAATCGATGACCCACCCGTGGGTCACACTGAACGTGTTAAAACTTAACCGTCGGGCAGTTGAAAGTTCGACAATCAGACGAAAGCCGGAGCTGGGTCACTTCTGACCCGTCATAAGATTTGTTTGCTATACATCAGAGAACCAATTTTTTTCGTCTTTTTATCTACTTACGTTAAACTGCATTTCTCGGTAACTTTAAAAAGAAGAAATGATTATTATTAATTGACAGTTGAATGACCTTTAATGATACCATGCTGAAATTGCCACATTTAAAAAAATAGAGATGGTCTTAAAATCTCCTCTACGCCTCCATCTACGTAAAAAGTATTTACAGCACATTATGTCTCCCTCCATATCGTACAAGTTTTGTACATAACATTTTTCCATATTATTATAAATAACAGAAATATTCTAGATGGACAAAGAATTTTCCCCATGAACACCTTCTATACACGTAAATAATACGGGTCACAGATAACCCAACTTTGTTGGCCCGTTAAATAACTCTAAAATAGAAACAAAGTGATATCATGACTGATACCAACCATACTGACGCCAATGACTATGATTCCTTTTCAAAGAAACCTATTAGGACTTTTGAAATTTTGAAACACGAAGAAAGAAGAAATTAATATCTATGTACTTATATAGAAACTCATAAAACTACACTAGGCTCATAAGTAATGAAAACTAAACAAAGCAATAATTAACGATATGTATCTACATAATAGAGCATAATTCAAATTTGTGATATGCAAGTAGCATAACGTAAAGGACGTAGTGAAGAATTTGGTCCAGAATCTGTTCCAGGGTGAACAGAAGGACAACGTAGTCGATTCATCATGCCGTGTCCTACGGTGTTCTCGAACACGCGATATAACTTACGAGATGTGGAATACGGCGAGGCAGAGAAACGCGGCCTGTGTTCTGTAGATAAGAACGGACCCTATATCGTCGCCACTGCCACCCTTCCGCACGATCAGATTTCTTCCGGTCCCAATTACGTTTCAGATGCTTGCGTGGTCACGGGAGGATTATCGTCCCTTCTCGAGTAACAAGAGTATCAGAAAAAAAGGAATATATGCAGCCCTCGTATAGATCTTAAATCGTTTCTCATGGAAATCGATGACTTGTATCTTGAGAAATTCGAGAATTTAGGCTACGAAATGAATATGACTTTTGATACTGTGCTTCGCGTGCCTTTGAAACGATTTTTCATTCGTAGAGAGTTAATATTTAGTATAATTGTGATTAGCAATATTTATTTTGATATTATTACACTTAGTAATTCGTATTATTATTAACATAATACTATATATATTGTAATAAAAATTAATAATGTGCCTCGAATGTAATTTTATTTTTCTCAAATTCCATTTTTAAACCTACGATATACTCGATATGCTATCTCGCGGCAAGAATTAGTAGCTCTCTAGCAATCTACTTTTCCGTCGATAACATATTACCGAATTAAACTGTTCGTTTATATGTACCGGTAAAGTATATACGAATATACACTGCATAGCTAATATATGTATACATTACCGAAATGTTTTAAGTAATGTGTCAAATGCAATGATTTAAAAATGTTATCTCATACTTTTGTAAATTTCTGATGTTAAGTGAAAACATCACTGATACTACTTTAAACAAAGTATTGGCATATTAATTCGGATTAGATTCCATTATCCAGTTTAAACATTTATTAAGAGTATAAGAAACGATACTTTATATAAATAACAAAAAATACAAAGAAACAAAGTTACTTTGGAAACAGGTACCAAACGTAAAAGCATCAAAATTATAGAAATAAAACAAAAAATAAAAAATTCTCTTTTCAAAGTCCATCGGCTTTTACACTTTACCAATAAAATTTCATACAAAATAATTCTTAATATATCTATTTCTTTATATGTACTTTCAATTAGCATACAACATTAAAATGATAGTTTTACATATATACGAAAATTGTTCCCGCGTACTTTCATGGCGACTATACGGTACGTCAAACGGTACGAAAATCGAATTGCACTTAAAAGTCCATAATGACGTGTAAAACAAATAATATACCAAAAATAATAAAGAATATGCAAAAATGGATGTTTCACTCACATTTTTCTGCCTCTAAACTCGTACTTTCCCATGATTTCTTCTAATTTTTCACAAATAAACTACACTTTGTACTTTTCACAAATCGCCGTTAGTAACTCGCGAACAACTAATTCGATAACTTGCAGTACACGTTCGATATCTCGCAGTACACGTTCGATATCTCGCATGTCTACGATTATACTCTGTCGATAATAATCGCAGATACTAAAGTGCATTGATATATTTGAAAAGTTACGTCGGGGATATAATGTCATTTGCAGCGAAGACTACTTTCGCGTTATGTTGTGCAACGTCACTTGGTATAATAGTTTACGTTCATTATACTCAGGAAGAGGAAAGGTAATTTAACTTATTCTTAATGATAGGTTATGTACAAGTGCCGATGATGCAGTGTTCCTTCATCGTGTAACATGGATGAATTACAAAATATTCGAAAGGAAATTTATTTTCGGTGTTAAGACTAAAAATTTAGTTCCATTTTTTTATATAACTATTTTTTTTTCTTTCAGTATGCAAATTCAAGTGTCATTAAATCTGTAAAATACATATTTTTAATTCAAATAAAATTAATTACTTTTAAATCCATGCTACACGATACAATTGTATTTCGCGCGTTATTATTCTCGAACAGTCTATATATTTCCGTTATTCTTGCAGAAAACAGCTTCATTTAGGTGTCGAACGTGATATTCAACGTCAGGAAGCACGAAAAAGAGAAAACCTATACATATATGAACAACAACAACTGTTAGCGAAGCAATTACAACAAGCACATCAGCAAAACGAAAATCTTGAAGCTGCATAATTTGTAAATATTGTTAGATAGCCACAACAATATAGTAATTTATTGCAGCACTTGTATTCCTACATTTATGGCATTTCTTAATAATACTATTCATTCAGGATTTTTTATTGAATTTAAGTAAAGGTTAGGCAGTGTGATTCCACTGAACATAATGAGTACAGAAAAACCAACAGATCAACCAGGTGAGTGTATTTAAAATATACTTAAGCAAAATATATGATACAATGACTTTTTTTATGTTTTTTGTTTATAGATTTAATTTGTGTAGAGGAGAGTCTTATGAGTTTAGAGAAGCTTGATAGGGCATCACCAGATTTATGGCCTGAGCAAAGTGAGTATATTCTACAAAATGATATGCTTTGCGTTAAATAAAAATGACGATGTATCATATATATTAGTGATTAATGAAGTTCCAGGTGTAAATGAATTTGTGGCTCAAAATTCACCACAAACAGAGCCCTCCTCTTGGGCTGCTGGTCTAACTCCAGATGATATAAATCAGTTACATCGTAAGTTCATACTTGAAATTGAAATTTTTGAAATAATATTTTACTCCATGTAAAAAATAAAATAATTTTTATTTCAGAATTGGGAAACTTAACAATGGGTGGTTTAATTTCTGAAGTAAAAAAATTACACGATATGGCTTATCAATTAGGATTGGAAGAGGCAAAAGAAATGACCCGTGGAAAATATTTAAACATTTTCAAGCCTAAATAACAAAATCCTTGGCTGTCAAAATTATGTGCAAGATAATATTTACAATATTTTCTTTTATAATAAAATATAAAGTATTAAAACAAAGTACCAACATTTCAATAAACTGCTAACAGTTTTCTAGAATCCATCTGATGTATCTCTGTACATTGATAAAGACTGATAGGAAGTTGGTGCTTATGCTGCAGTCGGAACCATAAGACAGAATGCCTAACTGAAAGTTGTGTACATATAATTGTAGTTTTGTAAATGTATCAAAGTTTATAATAAATGTCAAATGTGATAAAATTTTTACCAAAAAATTCGTATCGCCATGTGTAAATAAAAGAGGACTTCCATTGTATCCTGAACATGGCATTTCATCTCCTATCGCACATAATTCAGCAGCCGTCCGTTGGTTATAGAAATTCATACATTCTTCACTTGGTAGAATTCTCATTTTCACAGATTGTTGATTGCAAGTTTTCACTGAAAAATTTAAGTAAATTATTTATTACGAAACATACTTTTACGTTTATTCTTACCCTTTTGACTTGCCAATTTTCCCCACCCAACAAGAGTAGAACTCACACCTACGTTCACATATTTATCTCTCGGTGGAAGGCATACAGGTTGCGCCGTTACTAAATAAAAATAAAAACCTCAAAAAATTTATCGATACATTTTGTAGACAGAAAAAAATAAAATAATTTAATTAATTACCTGTATACTTTATCGGTTCCTTCAAACGCAACATGGCTATGTTATTCGCAAAAGTATCAGCTTGATAATGAGGATGTTTTATTACATATGATATATTAATTTTCTGTATATTGCAATCAGGGTCAGTCTCGGCATTGAACTTACCAACAAGCACAGAATCCCTGTAAAAAAATAGCTGAAAATCAGTTGTAAAATTTATCAAAAAGAAATTAGAATACTTACAGTTTATAATTACTAGTCTTTGCAAGAGCGCAACTCGCGGTAGTTAATACTGTGTGTTCGCTTAAAATTGCTCCACTACAAGGATACTTCATTTCTCCTGTATCACCTAATTTCAAAAACTCTCAAAAATAATACCTATTTCAAAAACTTGGTTAATTAATAAATAATTCATTTGAACTCACTTTTAAATCCAATCCTCGCAACGTAAGGGTACTTTCCCATAGAATTAATATCATCATGAACAAAACTTTTGCCACATTCTGGAATCAAATACGATCTCGAAAGAGATCCGTTATCTTCTTGAGTGAAAAGCGGGTTCATAATGTCACTACCCATGTCACAGCACACTTTTGCTTTCGTACTTTCGTAGCCACAAATTGCTTGTCGAAATCTACATTTAATATACATATAAAACTGTCATGAAAATTCGAACAATTTTATGTCTCATATTATTTATACTATAATTTATCATAGCAACGAAATTGCACTGGTCTACCTATGAATTGGAAGTAGATTTTGATCCATTAAATTTGAAATACCGGAACAGTGTTCAATGAAGCTACACTTCTTATCATCGGGACAATTAATCGAGTTAATTGGGTACATTTCGGTCAAAAAGTTTTGCGCTTGTGCGGTTACACTGACCGTTAAAATAAAATACAAAAGTACCGATGAAAGGGACATTTTTCTTTGGTCGACTGGCATCGTTTAAAACATTGAAACACACTGATCCTGTTTGACAGATCTCATTTCGTAACAGATGATATGCCACAGATTTTATTCTATCAGTTGCCTTGGCGTTCGAACCATTATTCGTTCTTCCGGCGGATGTCTCATTGTCATGCAAAAAATAATTCGCGAATGTACACGCAGAAAATAACCGAATACTGTGTTGAAGTATATGTAGAATTTATTATTCGAAAATAATTAAGTACATTTATTCACATTTTCAGTGTGAAAAAATTCAACCGTATTCTATGTACCAAAAATAGACGTTTACAAAACGTGGCAACCTAAAGCCGTGTCTGCACTATACAGGGTGGACCACGTAAAACAGGCCACCTAATTATCTTCTCTAGCTATGGTGGTACGAGGAAGGGTGAATACGATGGAAAAAAACATTCTTTTTTATGGAAGAAATGATAAAAACTGAAAGAAAATTTTACATTTAATTTTTAATTTTAGTGTCCAAAGTCATTCTTAGGTCGTATTATTATGAATATTTACTGCAACATACAGTACAACAAAATATAGGTATATATTTATGTAAAAAAACATAGGTGACCTTAGACAAAAAAAAAAAACAGTAAAAATCGCATTTATAAAAAAAATTGTCTCCCATCTTATTCACCCTTTGTAAACATTTAAATTACGCACAAACATTTTCTCATACCACCATAGCTATACGTATAGAGAAGATAATTAAGTGGTCTATTTTACGTATCCTAAGTACACAATTATCTGAGTTATCGCTGCATTCGACTGTACAATATATACAAGGTGTTACATTTAAACGAGAACGGCCATGAACGAGATTTGAAGCTATGAAAGTAATGTTCATACGAAAGTTGTTTGATATAGAGAGGCATATTATGTGGTATAAATAATTTTTCTGCAGGTGTGGTAATGGGGGAAATGTCAAAGTCAACTTAATCTTTTTAAATGGAACCCCGAATTTTTTTATTCATAATATAGTGTCTAGTTATAGCTAAACCCTACTTGACTCTACTACTAGTGCAAATTCTCTACGATTTTATAATTTTCCATAAAACGAAATGACTTAACATGGCACTTCGTTGAATTCGTCTCAATAAACGCTATAATATTAAGAATAGAAAAATATAGCGTTCCGTTTAAAAAAAATTAACTTTGATATCTCTCCCATTACTACACCTGCAAAAAAGGATTTTGTACCATCTAATGTTCCCCTATATGCCGAACAACTTTTGCAAGGACATTTTTTTCATAGCTTCAATGTCTCGTGAGATTTTCCAACGGTCTCGTTTAAATGTAATACCCTGTATATCCGCGGTCTAATGTTTTCCGAAAGGGAGATATACGAAATTCTAAAAACCTTGGACTCTTTGCTTCAGCGATACATCTGTGCACCTATGTGAAATGTGATCCGGGAGAAACGTGTTTTTTTGGATCCTACGTCTATGAACTTCAAAGACAGAAATAAGAAGCACGATGCGTGAGATTGAATTAGACGATGATATGGAGATGAATTCAATCGAAATAGAAAAAGATTCGAGTGTTGATTGGACAGTTTTAGCGAGAATTGAAAAAAGGAAATGATACAAACTTGTTACTGACTTGTTAGTGTAATATTAAAAGGCATAACCTTGTAACAAATTATAAAAACATGTTGTACAACAAGGTTATAAAACAATTATTTTCATAACACTATTTTGTTGTGTAGTGTAAACGCAGCTTTAATCTAGTACAAAAAAATAATTTATTACAATTCTAAGGTACCAATTAAACAAAAAAAAAAAAAAATGAAATTAAATAGTGTTGTAACCTGTCGGTAAGGCGAAGCCCTGTGCGCAATCGACAGGCGATACGATGGCTTGATCGATCAACGCCGCCTAGCACGGTGGAGGCGCTTTGGGGCTCGCGTCCGATTTTCAATTGTTCAGAAGCCTGTTCTTTCTCCAACGTGCTTCTATCAGATGTAATTATTTCAAGAATATATATTAATTTAGGATACTCCATCAATATCCAGCACTGCACAATAACAAATAGTGACTAATATCGACAATGTAAATGACGGTTTTCATTGGATTCAATGGCAATTCGAACGATATCGGAGCTTCTAAGAAAATCCACCGCCACGATGTTGGCGCTGTATTGCCATATGGTACTGTACCAATTGGTTATATTTGAATTAACAGTATGAGCCATATCACGAAGGTCTCCCAGTGTATTAAAGACAATGTCCTTTAAAGTTGCTGTCAATTCCGCCATAGCTGATCTTGGCCTCACTCTGCTGCCCCTATAATGAAATAATTCAAGAAAATTAATTTTTTCTATTTCACGAGAAAAATTTGACGGAATGTTTGAAATTTTGAAAATTTATAATTCGTTATCTAGAAAATTTCACGAAATGCAATTATTTTCTGTTCATTGAAATACAATAAATATTTTACACAAATGTTCCACCTGTCGTTATTTTCAATTTTACGCAAATATTTGTACAAATCCTCGATTCTCCTCACGTTGCCCCACTGATGCGCAACACAAGGCCACATGCTAGCGTGATACTCGACGATTCGCGTGTTTTCGTAGCCGATTATTAGTCTTCTTCCGGAAGACCATATGTCATTTAGTGTAATATTCCATCCGTGATTATTTGCCAAGTAATAATCCCGAAATTCATTTTCCAAGTATGACACCAGTGCTTCATGATCCGACAGATTAGTGAATCCTATTTAATACAATAGAAAAATTCAATTAGAATTGAAAAGATTATATTTGTCGCAAATTTAGGTTGAAATGCAGGATGTTACCAACGGCAAATTCTCGAATATCCATTATCAAAATTTCTTCGGTATTATCCAAAAATTGCCTCACTTGATCAATGACAGTTTTTAACGAGACTGAACGATAAAATGGCCCGTGATTGGTCCACCATATCTCGTCGTTAGTATAACGTCCTACTCTTATGTCCAAGTATCTTACACCGTGTATTAATTGGCCAAGGATATCTAAATCCTAAGCATGCGTTAATTTTGCTGATAAAATTTCCAAGGAAAGGAAGTCCCACGATATTATGCCACGATAAATTTACCTGCGTTACGGCGAAACGCGCTAATATACTTCTTTTATTGCCTTCCTCGTCGTAGGACGCGGAATCATGAGTGCCAGGCAAAAAGATTTGGCTCATTTTTAAAGGACCCACTATATTTTTTCTCTCCTTCATCCAAGTGGGCTCTGTTTTCAGACATTCCTTTCGTTTCTCTTCATTTTCTGTACTCCATGCCACTCCGTACTCTAAAGAAGAAAATTACAAATATTTCTCAAAATTCACATTTATTTATCCCGGCTAAAAATTGCGAAAAGGAAGCTGTATGAAAGAAGAAATTAGTGAAAAATTTTCATCGTCACCTACTCAAGCACTTAGGTACATAGGACAGATTCGAGCTAGGTACGTATTCCGCCAGAATTCCAGTTTTCTGAACGCCACTCGAACTATTTGGAGTCACCGTGTATATCACAACCGGAGCTCCCGAAAGACTGTTCTCGTAAAGCGAAATTGTGTCTCCAGGTTCAATCTTCAGGTTGTTCCAATAAATTTCTATCTCTCGAATCTTTGATTCCGTAACTATCGGTGAAATCAGTATACCAATTCGTGATTGCCCTAAATCATTCATACAGAACACCTCAGGGACCATTTCACTTTAACTATACAATTACAGTTCTCTTACAATTAACTCTTGAATTAAACAATTACAATTCCCTTATAATTAACACTCTAACTATATTCACAATTCTCTTGCAACTTACAATTCTCTGAATACGAGTTGCAAACCTTGGCAGACGAGGTTCCATTAATTAACACCAGCAGAAAAACGAGCACTATGCTTGTCATGCAGTCCACCATTGTTTTTTTGCAATTCCAGGAAGCAGATAAATAATTAGCCAGTATTGTTTCCTTCGATCTAAAGCTATCATCTAAACAGGCATACAAATATACAAGGATAAATAAATATACAGGGTTACCTAAAACTGGAACTCAATTTTTATATTTTTAAATGATAGATATTCAATTTTTAAGTGGTAAACGTTCCGCTTTTAAATGATAAAGTGACTTACGGGCCACCCGGTATTTCAGTGATTTATTCGGTGTGACACTTACCTGTTAGAATTCGATTTTGAAAGTGAGTTTCTAGAATGGTTTCCCAGTGCGTGACACAATCCGTGGACAGGCGAGAACTGATTCCCAATGCGTGTGGATATCATTTAAATCTACGATCGAACAACGCTGCATCCTTTCATTACGAGAGAATTATTGACTATGCCCGACTAAAGAGAAAAAAAGGTACAATAAGGCTCGTTAGACAAAACATGCAAAGTTTCCTCTTTTCCTAAGTAAAATATCCAAAGTCCATAGTAAAAAGAGAGAGAACAATCACTGAGCGTTTCTAAATGTATCGAATCTTTTCTTCCCTTTACCAACAAGATCTGTTTAATCTGGATACCGTGATCGTGAATTATTCAGCCTCTGATTAACCAGTTCTAGTAGAAGAGAAGAAAAGAATAGAAAAGGAGGGAAAAAGATAAACAAGAACGCGTGGTTCGACATCTGACCCCTACCACTCTATGCGCAATAACGTATATACGTACAACGCGATTTTGCTACGAGTTCCTTGCTATTTTCTAATTAACGCTTTAACCGTGCTTGTTCGTACGTTTTAACTCGATATTTTTGAATAGGAAGATATTTTTTTCAGGAAACAATGAGTGCACGGTAGAAATGGTAAATAAATGGCATGGTAGAAATGAGTGTACACATTTGGATGTAAATATAATTTGTTCTTTTATTATCATTTATTGTCTAAGCATGGTTACACAGCAATGACATTTTTACTGTTCTTATGGTAACAGAAAATTGATCGAGTAACAATTACTGTTAAAGACGTCAATTTTGACCTTCGTAATAGTATTTGCTTGCAATGTTATTTCTCGACAGACGTGTACGTCAAGTGTAATTGCAAATGAAATGACCTTCCTTGCCTGGGTTACTAAACCCTTGTTTTGACTACGTTCAAACGTGACGTGGATTGCCGTTATAAACTGTTCGTGAGAGTCGTCTTAAATTTTTTCAGAACTCCAATTCCAATATTGAGAAGGCATGAATAGTAGAGCTAAAATAATATTCTTTCGTATTAAGCACCATGAGACAATTTAGTAGTAAAAAATATTTTGTATTGTTTCGTCATTGTCAGAAGGTTGGTAAGAATTGTTTATGATATTTGAGAAATTTATTAAAAATTTGAAATTATTTTGTAGAAAAATTTATATTATTTTGCAATAGAGAAAAATCTAGTACCATTTACCTGCTGTCGTACACCTTGATCACTATCAACTGTCGGTAAATGCTACGTGAATTGATATTTTAATTAAAGTTTTTATTAATTTTACATGATTCAAGGTCTCTAAATAAAATAACAATTTTTCATAACGTAAGATAAATTTTTAAATGGTTAAATTGTACTTTTTTATTAAGTTAAGTTTATGGAATTGACTTCATCGGTAGTAAGTCAAATCACCTACAACTAACCACCCATAATCGTGTTTGTTGCCGTTGCTTGCAAGTTGCTCTTTCATCGATTCCAGTGAAATATTTGAATTTGTATTAAATATTTCAATTTTTTCACAACTTTTGTTAGTATTCTTTCTTTAGTGCATCACTGATTGTGTTTCTATATAAAGATCTGAAAGTAGTGTGTTTTCTTCGTAATTTTGTGAAGTGTGTGTCACGAAGGACGAGTCTAAAAAAATGGGAACTTCAGAGAGAAACATTTACAGTAGGTAGTGCGTTAAATATTTCTCATACATGCATAAAATACTTATAAAAGCAAATATAAAGATTATTTCTGTAAAATTTAGATACAGTGTGGTTTGAAATATCGAATAAGCCCTTTAAATTCTTCAAGACCAGGATTCTTTGTTTACGTACGTTTTAATTATGTGAAGTCGACGAATGGTAAGTGAATACTTTCAAAATTACGTAAAACGTAAACGGGAGAACACAGAGGGTCTTAAGAGAATAGTAAGAATGAATTCAATAGAATATGTTAAGATTTCAACCAATGTTGGCGGTTCATTTGAATGTTGGCGGGAAATTTGAATACTATTTCTTATTACGTTTAACAGATATATAACATTCATTTGATCGAAAATGAATGATTACAAACATGTTCTATTTAAAATTGAATTTATAATACTTTTTATATAAAATTATATAA